TTGCCTTGGTGCTTGCCGCCGTGAACAAAATCTTCAGCAGGTCATCCCGAGCGTTGAGACCCTACAGACAATAGAAAGTTATCATCAGAATATTAAAAAAAACGAAAGTGAATCGGTAAGGGTGAGGTCAGCCTCTCTCTTGTCGATTCCCCTCTTCACGAAGCTCCCATATGGAGTACATGGGAGGTAGGGTTTTCACCATTATCGATCAATGTTCCCGGCGCGTCCAACCCACACAAGACGATGGCATCGGACCACAACCAGCAAGGCACAATCACCCGACCTACAGGCTACAGAAAGGAAATTATGGGTTGTAAGGGAGCCTCCAACCTTTTCCTACAAAAAAGAATATTCAAGTGGGAAACAAAGGAAATACAAAATACAAGGTCGTAGCCAAGCGGACCCAGCACCATCATGTCCAATGGTCTAATCACGGGAGCAGCTAGGAACCTCAAAGAGGTCTCTTGGAATCCAGACTCTAGTGCCATCCCCTCCATGGTTGTTCTCACCATAATGATTCTTTAAGCACTTGGGAAGACCTAGCCGAGGCATGGAATTGTCTCGCTGCCTGTCTGAGCGTCCTTCACCTTGTCAGACTCATGAAAGAGCTTTGGTCAGATAAAATCAAAGCTTGTAAACCTGCCAAAAAAAAAGAGAAGTAACAAAGTGTCAATCCACATGCCAACGACGACTGGCCAGCCGTGGGTCGACGTGGGCTGCCACCACCTAATAGAAGAACGACGTTGGGGAAACCGCCGGCCAACGCGGACGCCTATCCACCTAGAGGGATGGCTACGCCGGTCGGCAGGGGGTGACCGATACCCTCGTGATCGACGTCGGCAGCCACCAAAATTCAGGAGCAATCCAGCCTCCTGGGCGACGCCGGCCGTTGGGGAAGAAGGCCCGGGGGATGCCGTCCAGCGGAGGATTTGACGGGCTGGACGCCTGGGAGAAGGTCACCATCTGACATGGGGGCGTCGGGCTTCCAGTCCGCCTGAGAGGACACCATGCCGGCCAGAAGTGGAACGACCTCCGGCTGAGGGGATTGGGTCGGCCGGACATGGGGGTCCAGACCCGCCGGCCAGATCCGCTGGATTGCAGGGGAGACGTCGGCCACTGGCGGTGGTGCGGAGCAGCGATTGAGCGCAACGGGGGTCGACCCAGGAGCCGCCGGGAGAAAACCGCCGGTCAAGCCAGTTAGCTGGTTGACTGCGGCGCTGGTGCGGCGCGAGGAAGACGGACGCAGACCAGGGGAGAGAAGAGAAAGAAAAGGAAAGAAAAAAGAAGGAAAGAAAAGAAAAGGAAAGAAAAAAGAAAAGGAAAGAAAAAAGAAGGAAAGAAAAGAAAGGAAAGAAAAGAAAAGGAAAGGAATTTTTGGGAGCTGACCTGGATTCTGAAGTCCGGAAGAAAACTGACGACTGGAGTGCTAGGATGCTGAAGGAATTTTTCTGGAGCCTTTTTTGGGAGCCTGATTTAATTTGGGAATTTCCATAAACTCCGGGATTCACATAATCCACAATTATGGTTCCTTGATATGTGAATATTTTTAAATCGGCAGCTGACTTAAACTACTCCCTCTTAGCCGAGTCTACTACTCGACTAAGGGAGTGGGTGACTCGTGATGGGGTTATGGGACTAGGTCCAGAGCCTAATCGGCCCAGGCCTCGGACTTGGACCAGCAGGCCCAAGCCCAGTGATCCAGAGCTCATTCCGACCCAATCGATCAGGCCCATCAAAGAGTGAAAGCCCAGGGCGGCCTGCCATCCAGCCCAATAGGGAGCCTGCCTACCAGTCCAGTCAGTAGCCTGCCTTCCAGCCTACCCGGGAGCCTGCCTTCCAGCCCAGTGGGGAGTCTTCCGTCCAGCCCAGCAGGGAGCCTGCCTTCCAGCCCAGTGGGGAGCCTGCCTTCCAGCCTAGCCAGGAGCCTGCCGACCACCAGCCCAGCTGGGAGCCTGCGGTCCACCCCAGCTGGGAGCCTGCGGTCCAGCCCAGGTGGGAGCCTGCCTCCAGCCCAACGGGGAGCCTGCCTTCTAGCCTACCCGGGAGCCTGCCTTCCAGCCTACCCGGGAGCATGCCTCCAGCCCGGTCAGAAGCCTTCCTCCAGCCTAGCGGGAAGCCCACCGTCCAGTCCAGCAGGAGGGAGCTCAAGTGTCCAGCCTGCCAGCCAGGAAGAGTAACGGCCAACAATCAATGCGCTACTTAATTATGTGTTTAATTCCATATTAATGTTGTAATTAATTTAGTCATTATTATGTTCGGCAGTTACCATTTGTAATCGCCTATAAAAGGCAGTTCAAATTTCAAATACAGATATGCTATTTCTGGCTAACTTTCCATATTCGTACTTTCCTAATTCTTGCTTGAGTGTCGTACGTAGCTTTCCTAAAAGCCTACGAGCGTCCTATTTTGGACCAACATTGGTGCTTTCATTGAGAGCCTCTATTGATCTCTCACATCACTTTAGTAGGAAAAAATTCAAGAAATTCGGCGGGAGCCCTGGTTATCTCCCCGACGTATAGGGCTCGGGCCCACTGCTTCCGCTCTCCAGAGGTGTCACCTCCCTGGGGTCCCCCGAATATGAAGGAACATCGATGGTACTTCCGGGGGCCGTTCCCTAGGTCGGCATCGTCTTCCTCAGAGAAGGCGCTGAGCTCCCGCTTCTTGGCAAGGGGTGTCTCCTTTGACGTGGTAGCTTGGTCGGGCCGCTGCCACGTCAGGCTCCTCTTCTGCGGGATGCCTCCTTGTTTGCCAACGAATTGGCCCAGGTACCCTTTCTGGATGAGTTCTTCAATTTGCCGCCGGAGAATGACGCAATCATCTGTATCATGCCCTGCTCTCTGATGGAATCGACAATATTGGTCGTGGTTGCGCTTGGAAGTCACCACATCACACTCCTCCGGAAAGTCGACTAAACCTTGCTCCTCCGCGTAGTCGAGGATGGCCCCGACCGGCTGAGCAAGTGGAGTCAATTGCTTGACAGGCTGTAGCGGTCCGCTCGGGACGTCTGCCTTGCCCTTGCCTCTACTTTTGTTACCTCTGTACTTGTTGTTTTTGTTGCTAGCTTTGCCGTCAGCTTTCTCAGCACCCGAACCGGCTTCCTTCTTCTTTTCTTCTTTTGCACCTTCTTCCTCATCTCTTTTCCTCTGCAAGGCGTCCTCCACTTCGGCTTGCCGGTCGGCACGGCCGAGCGCCTCCTTGTACGAGGTGGGGGGACTTCTGACGAAATCTTTGTAAAGCTCGCCCGATCGGATAGAGTTTGTGAGCATGGCCACCCCGGTCCTGTCATCAAGGCCCTGAACCTTGACTGACTCGGCCCTCCACCTCACTAGGAAGGTCGACAATGATTCCTTCTTCCCCTGTTTTAGGCCGAATAGGTGGCTGAAGTTTTTCTTGACGTCTCGGGAGCTCGCGAACCTCAAGAGAAAGCGCTGAGCCAACTCACGGAAATTCGTGATACTCCCGTCGGGTAGAGAGTCATACCATTCACGAGCCGGGCCATCCAAAGTGGCGGAGAAACCGCGGCATCGGATGGCGTCCTCGTACCCCATCATGACCATGTAGGAAAGGTACCGAGATACATGATGCTGGGGGTCAGAAGCGCCCTTGTATGCTTCAATGGCGCAGGGCTTGTAGCCCCTCGGCAACGGCGCATCCATGACCGCCCGGGTGAAGGGTTCGGGTATCCGGAGGTCGGCCGTGTAAGGCTCCCCCCCCCCCCCCCCCGACGACCCTCTTTCTCAACTCGTTAAGGCGCTGTCGTAGATCTTCCACCTCGGCCGGCGGTAGGTTCCCCTGGACGGCTCCAGCGCGGGGTTGGGCATGTCTGGCGGCACCTCCAAGTCATCCGTGCACGTGAGGTCGGGGCCCCACGTTTTGCCTCTCCGTATAGCCAGTCCGACTGCTCGCCCGGTGAGAGTGGCGAGAGGGCTCGCCTCCTTCCATCTGCGTTGGGCGCCCCTGCTGGGCGCCCCTCCCCGTCTGCCGATGGGGTCGGCTAGGCTGCTGGGAGACTTCTTCCCCCCGCCGATAGGAGACTTCTTCCCCCCTGTTTTGGTTGGATCCAGAGCGTCGCTCATCACGCCGCCTGGAGGACACCTCCACATCCGCTGGCTTCTGTTGACGGACAGGCTCATCCACATTTCCGCCAGACACCATCTGTTGGAAATTTTGAACCAAGGTCCCCAGAACCCGAGTTGCCTCCTGCAGGGCTTCCACCCCGGCATTGAGTCGAGCCGGGTCCATGCGCGGAGCATGACGTCGCCCCCCCGCCCCACCGGCTGCGGACCGAGCGCTCACCTTGGGTGTGGTTGAGCTTCACCCTTAGGTCGCCGTGGCCTGATAATTGGTTCCGAAGGTCGCCTTGGCGCGCCGCCCTCCTGCCCTGTGCATGGTTGTCGAGGGCACACTGGCGGCCAGACCGGGCGGACTCCTCGGTGTGGACTGAGACATGGTCACGTCGAGACGAGATTCCGGCCATCTTCTTGTGTGATTCCTACTCAAGTTATGTGAGAGACAATAGAGGCTCTCAATGAAAGCACCAATGTTGGTCCAAAATAGGACGCTAGTAGGCTTTTAGGAAAGCTACGTACGACACTCAAGCAGGAAATCAGGAAAATAATGCAAATAAGGAAAGAAGCTAAGAGTATTTAGTTGCCAGAAATAGCATATAGAATTCGCTTCCCCTAATCTGAATTACAACCCGCCTTTTATAGGCGTATACAAATCGTAACCGTTACCGATAATAATGACTAATTAATTGCAACATTAATACGGAATTAAATACATAATTAATAGCGCATTAATTGTTCGATCGTTACTCTTCCGGGCTAGGAGGTCGGCCGGACTGGCAGGCTCCCTGCCGGGCTGGTAGGCAGGCTCCAGGTTATGAACTTGGATCCATGGGTCCAAGTTCAGGGCTTGGGCTGATTAGGCTCTAGGCCTAGTCCCATTACTCCATCAAGATGATAAGTCAAAGTGATTAACAAAACAGGTGTTCTATTCATCGGCACTTTTGGCCGGGGTATACATAATATGACTTCGAATGAAGAAAGAGATGAGCAAAAGAAAAGTAAAAAGATAATAAACTATTCTACTGTTCTGGGGCTTCATCCTCATCATCTTTATCGTCTTCATCCCCTTCTGCCGCATCATCCCCCGAATCAGTCAGGGTTAGGGATCCTTCCCAGCTGCCCGATCAGCCTCCCTCTTTAAGTCTCGATCATATTTACCCATTTGGGTCTTAAGAACGTTGAGGTGATCGGCCGAGATGTGGGGGAAGTCGGCCAGCTCCACTGATCGGCCTAAAGCCTGTTGAAGAACGGGGAGGAGGGGTTGCAGCATACGTTCGCACCCAGCCACATAGACTTCCCGGGAGAAACACTCAACCAACCCCTTGGATGTAGGATCCTGATCAAGGACCCGAACTCCCTCCTTGCGCCAGTCCAGGCCCTGGCGAAACTTCTCCAGATGCCACCTGAACACAGCGGGAAGTTGTCTGAAGGCGTACTGCTCTTTGATATCAGCGAACTCAGCAGAAGACTTAAAAACCTCCCGAACGGCTGAGAGGTCCACACTCACTTCAGGAGGACCGTCTAGGGTCTGGGAAGCTGCCTCGGTGAACTTGACCTGAGCAGCCTCAGCAGCCGCCACTTTAGCCTGGGCAGTGGCTAATCGGACTCGTACCCGACCGAGCTCATCCTCGAGGCGTTTCCGCTCCTCAACAAACGTTTGTCGCTCAAACTAAGAGGCCTGAACGGCATTGGCGGTGGTCTGCTTGGCGGAAGTCAGAGCTTCATTCAGATGACGCTCCCTTACAAGTCGGGCCTCCCGCAGCTACAGGCTATAAAGCCTCATCTGTGATCAGATCACGCTCCTTGACCAGTCGGGCCTCCCACAGCTGCAGGCTATAAAGTTCCATCTGTGAACAAACTGGGAACAATCAAAAGATTGGGGCATGGTCCAAAAACACCAGACAACCCGGAAGTGCAGGAAAGAGAAAGCACCTTCAAGGCGGTCAGGGCCACGCACTCCTCTGCCAGCTCGACCGAGAGATTCAGAAGCAGGAAATTGTTGAAATAAGCAGAGGTAGACAAGATCTGGGTCGCCACGGATCCGCTCCGCTCTAAGATCTCGTGAGAGGGATCTTCAAGAGAGATCCGTTCAATCTTTAGCGCCAGGTCAGCCTGGTGGGCTCTCGCGTTGGCACCCTGGGCAGGATCAAAATGCCCAGGGAATTGATGATGCTGCTCAAGACCAAACAAGTTGTCCATAAGCATGTCAGTAACAGAGGGCTGCTCGGAAGCAACCTGATGAAGGGGCTAGACCTCCTGAGCGGGCTAGGAGTGCTCCACGCTCTGAGAGGCAGCTTGGGCATCAGCTTGAGAGGAACCGGCCGAGTCGGTCTTCTTCGACCTCTTCCTCTTCTTCTTTTTCCCGACAGGAACACCAACAGCGAACAGCCTACTGTTGTCCATGGCTTGATCAGGGTCTACTTTGGGATTGGGAACTGGAAAAAAGACATAAAATTAAAAGTTAGTACTGAGCGGCTTCAACGTGGGTAAAACAAAATAAAATGTTTCCCGCACAGGAAGGACCGCCCGGGCCATGGCACTTGGGTTTCGATCAAATAAGTCCAGGAGTTCGGGCAGTACCTATCCCGGCCTTGATGAGCTGCTCAGGAGTCAGATAGTCCATGATATTGTAGACCTTGCAGTTCTCAAAGGCAAAAACGTCTCTGGCCAGCTCCTCGGAGATGAATGGTTCGGAGGATTTTTTAGGGAAGGCATTCCACCTCTTCGGGATCAAGCCATCCGGGACCGAAACAAAGAAGAATCGATCCTTCCACCCGTTGATCGAGGAAGGATAATCGGAAAACAGAATATGACCCGTTCGGGCACTCGCGACTAAATACCCTTGAGCTTGTTGGGGGATGACTGTGTAAAAGTAGTGGAAGAGGTCCAGGGTGGGCGTCGCCCCGACATCCACACAGCGGCAGATGAAACCGGACATAGCCTGGTAGGAGTTCGGCATAATTTGGGCCAGCACCACTTCATAAAAATTGAACAAGGAAATGAAAAATGGGTGGAGCGGGAATCTAAGCCCGACTTTCACCGAATCAAAGTGAACCACTACCATCCCCGGGAGATGGCGCATTGCTTGAAGCCCAGATTGAAGGCGGAAGTCTACTGGGTCAGGAATTAGGGCTGGAATTTAAGCCCTATTTTGGGCTGCATGTTTTTGCCGCCGGAACTTGATTAGGGTTAGGTCAACCCTGTGGCGCGGAATATCATCCGGAAGACCAACCTCCATGGAATCAATCTCATCACCGGAATTAATGACGTCCGAGTATGTACTGGAAGAAGATTCGTCGTTGTTGGAGTTACCACTGGGAACCTCCGCATTGGCATTTGTGTTCTCCGCTGCGGCGTCTTGGGCCTCCCTTTGAGGGGCCTCTTCAGAAGTACAAGGATCGGAAGAACATTTGCGAGGTGCCATGCTGAACAAACAAGAGGGGAGAGGAATTAGAAAAGGCAGGAGGATTACCTGAGCGACGACTTAGGAAGCTAAAAGTTAGAGAGAAGGCAGAGGTGCAGCACGAAGAACTCAGAAATCAAAAACCCGGAACTAAAGGCCCAAGGGCTTATTTATAACCTGACAGCACTGGTTCCTCAACCAATCAGAAGAGGACACGTCACTTGAAATGATTACAGAAACATGTGTCACGCGGAGAAGCCCCAACAAGTAATCATGACGGTTATCGAAAACCGGAAACGACAGCCGCGTAAAACCGTCAAGATTTTGCATAGGGAACCGGCGAAGCCCGAACGTCACATACCCGAACAACATTCAAGCAGTTTCTTCTACTTCCTTATGCACTCACTACCGCTCGAGACATGGGAAGTGGGGGACTTATGTTGGGATATTGGGCCGAAGCCCAAGATACCCGGCCCAAAGCATATAAGGGCCCATAGAAGACAAGAGGCTCAATGAAGTCAGTAGAGTCCAAGGCATCCCGAACGGGTATTGATCGAACAGCATTCGGGTCAATTTATTCACTTGAGCTAATTAACAGAGTACTAGCATCAAAACGGCCACAAGGGAGTCCCGCACCCCCGAACGGGCTATCCGACCAGGTAGTCAGCAAATGGGAGCCGCATTTATTGCTGAAGTATGGCGAGGGCAAGTGAAGGCATGGGTGCAAATATGGCAGAGGCAGCAGCCAACCGAGTTCAGCCACGTCACCACCCTACCTATCCCCCTCTTAGTATAAATACATGCATCAAATACATGGAGTATGCTCGGTTACAGGAAAATAGCCTCAATGCTTTCAAGAAAGAACGATATGGCTATAGAAACTATGTTTCCACTCAGAATGTTAACCCCAGGTTTACTCACTCAATGGTCCCTAAATCAGTGGGTTTACTTCCAAATCCAGTACCATCTGCATCTCTTAATAAGGGTAATGAGAAAATAGGGAAGAAGTTACCAATGCCAATAGATGTGGAAGATAGAAGAAGAAAAAATTTATCCTTCCATTGTGATGAGCAGTATTTTCCGGGACATTAATGTAAAGCTCAGATTTACAAGATTCTGATTCTTCCAATGGAAGAAGATGAACAGATGGAGGGAGCTATGGTGGCAAAAGCCTCAGAATCTAATGAAGATTGGTACGGAAATGTGGCTCAGGAGACTATTTTGCCTGAAAATCAGCCCTTGATATCCCTAAATGCTATTTCTGGATATAATAATTACCAAACAATGAGAGTTACAAGGAAGGTGAAACAGAATGAACTTCATATTCTCATTGATTCAGGGAGTACACATAATTTCTTGGACACACATACTGCCAAGAGGTTAGGGTGCAAAATCAGGCAATCATATCCCTTAGAAATGTCCATAGCTAATGGAGAGAAAATGGTGACTACCACAACTTGTCCTAGATTTCAGTGGAATCTTCATGGTTATGATTTTGTGGTTGATACTATGCTAGTTCCACCGGGAGGATGCAACATGGTGCTAGGAGTACAATGGTTGGCATCATTAGGTCCAATTAAATGGGATTTTGCTAAGCTAACTATGGAATTTGTTTATAAAGGAAGAAGAGTTGTTTTAAGGGGAAAGCAAGGAGGACAGTTGAAGGAAATGAGTGGGAAACAAGTATGCAAGGATATTCAAAAGACTGGCAATCATAATGGGGTACAACTGTTCATGATTAAGGTGCAACATCCATCAGAAGAAAACATTGAATCTAAAAAATGCAGAGACCCTTTCCAAGCTTGTCCAGGAGTCATAAAGGAGGTGTTATTGCAATTTCCTGAGATTTTTGAGGAACCAAAACAGCTGCCTCCTCACAGAGAGCAAGATCACCATATTCATTTAATTCCAAGAACTGTTCCAATCAATGTACAACCCTACAGATATCCTCTAATTCAAAAAGATTTTATTGAAGAGCTCACTCAGGAAATGCTGGAGCATGGGATTATAAGGGAAAGCCACAGTCCTTATTCTTCTCCCATTGTCATGATTAAGAAGAAGGATGGTACATGGAGATTATGCGTTGATTAAAGGGAATTGAACAAGCACACTATCAAAGACAAGTTTCCAATTTCAGTAATTGATGAGTTATTAGATGAGTTACATTGCTCTAAATATTTTTCTAAAGTAGACTTGAGATCGGGGTACTGACAGATCCGGATGAAGGAAGAGGATATTGAGAAGTCTGCATTCAGAACACGTGAGGGCCATTATGAGTTCATAGTAATGTCCTTCAGCCTCAATAACACGCCTTCAACCTTTCAGAATCTAATGAATAGTATATTTAGGCCCTACTTGAGGAAGTTCATTTTAGTCTTCTTTGATGATATTCTGATTTACAGCCCTACTTTAGAAACTCATGCCTATCATTTACAACTAGCATTACAACTTCTTAAAGAGAATGAACTGTATGCTAAAGAAAGTAAATGTTCCTTTGGAGTGCAGAAGCTGGTTGAATATCTGGGACATATCATTTTTGAGCATGGAGTTTCAACTGATGAATCTAAAATTCAAGCTATGATCACTTGGCGAAGGAGAATAGAGCTGAAGATGCTCTATCTAGAGTGGGTGCTGGAGAAATCATGAGTCAGTCATAAACAACTTCAAGAAGGAACTGCAACTAACCCAAAATATTCCTGGCGGAATGATAAAATTCTGAGGAAGGGAAGGGTAGTAGTGGGCAATGATCGGGAACTCAGAAAAGAGATCATTAGCATGATGCATAGTTCAGCATTGGGGGGTTGATATGCACTAGTTTATAGTGCATAAATGTATGTTTTTATGTTGATTGAGTGTGGATTTTCCATCGCTTTTAGTTAGTTTGTAAGTACTTTTTTTATTTTGTTTGTAATTGTTCTCTCCTTCTTTTCGTAGTTATAGAATAGTGATAGAGTTTGTAGCAAGGAAAAGGGGAGAAAAGCTGAAGACAAAAATACCCAGGAGCACAAAAACCCGACCGGGTCAGACCTT